AGTTCCATTTTTTTTATATAACGCGTAATTAAACATACAAAAAACAATTATATAACAAAATTTTTAAAAAAATTTGTGAACGCATCGTTACCCTCTCGAATCCGCAATTAGTACAGCCGAAACAAAAATCCGGAATTCGCACGATCGCACACTCGACCGGTCTATAAATATCCCGTTCGTCCCGCCCAACCTCAGTTTCCCAAAATTCCAAACCAAACACTCTCTCCGATCATCTCTGTTCTTGCATTCTCGCTCGCACAATGGTAAGTTCGTTTAGAAAATATTGATAGGTTCATCTTCGCTACATTTTCTTAGTTTTTTTACTACTTGGTTCATGGCTCTATTGCCGCTTATTGGTTTATTGTGCAGGTGCAGATCACTGAGGACAGTTCATCTCTCCAGGTAATCATAATGTTGTTGTGGTTTACTCCTCCGAATTTATTTTTATTTTTTCACTTGATTTGCAACCTGCATATCTAAATCGTCTGAAATTAGATCCTTCACAGTTTTTGCGACAATCGCTAATTAATTTCTCTGTCTCGTGAAATCGTTCTTTAGTTTTCTCCTCTGAATTTAGTTTTATTTTTTTTACTTGGTTTGCAAGCTGCATATCTAAAGATGCTTGGCATTTTTTTGGTAGAATCGCTATTTAATTTCTCTGTTTCGTGAAATCGCTGTTTAGTTTTCTCTTCTGGATTTTGTTTTATTTTGTTACTTGATTTGCAAGCTGCATATCTAATGATCCTTGGCAGTTTTTGGTAGAATCGCTATTTAATTTAATTTCTCTGTCTCCTGAAATTGCTCTTTAGTTTTCTCTGTCTTCTGGAATTAGATCCTTCACAGTTTTTGGTACAATAGCTAATTTCTCTATCTCGTGAAATGCTCTTTTGTTTTCTTCTCTGTTTTTTTTTTTTTGATTTGATTTGCGACCTGCAAATCTAAAGCTTCTGGAATTAGATCCTGCACAGTTTTTGGTAGAATCGCTAATTTCTGTGTTGTGAAATTGCTGTTTTGCTTTCTCCTCTGAATTTTCTAGATCATAAGTTGTTTTTATGTCTGTGTGGATATTCGACACAGGATGCCCGTACCGGTGCCGGTAACGCCAATCTCACCACTGCTGTTTACAAGGTAAACTTGAATTGTCATGGGTGCGCCAAGAAAGTTGAACGTGCAGTGAAAGCTTGTGATGGTAAGTAAATTATGCATCTGTTGTGGTTGCTTTAGTTTCTTAGTAAGCGATACCTAATTAACATTTTTCATTTGAAAGTGTGGAAGACTGTATGGTAGATTGCGAATCAAACACAGTGACTGTGGTGTTTGGGAAGGTTGATCCTGTCAAAATCGAACAGAAATTGGAGAAGAAGACAAAGAAGAAGGTTCAGCTTCTCTCTGTCCAGTCCCGTGCCCCTGCTGTTGGTGGCAATGACAAAGAGGACGGTGCCCCTGTTGTTGGTGGCGATGATAAAGAAGACAAGACGAACCAGATAAATGAGAGGAAAACAGAGGACAAGACGAAGGAGAACGCCGTTGCATTGCGAGTGCCCGAAGAAGGAGAGGTGATGAAATTTAGAAATATCGTATTATATGTAGACAGTTATGTATAGTGGAGTGTTTCTCATGTCTAATATATTGTGTTTACAGGTTGAGATGTATATGAAACTTGCTTGCTGCATGAAAATCAAAGTCAAGCGAGATTTTGCAACTTTTGCCACAACTGCCAAGAAACGGGAAGGAGCAGGCAACGGAAAGGAAAAGAACAGAGACTCAAAGGTAGAAGGTGACAAAAAGGAAAAGAACAGTGACTCGGAGATAGAAGGAGGTGATAGGGATGTGAAAAGGGAGTACACCACGAATCCGTATCCGCCAATGTACTCGTCGGAGAGTTACGGACCTTACGGTGGCCCACCATCCTTTCCAGACCCCCAGAGGGCCCACTATGGGGGCTGGCACCCCTACCCATACCCATATTCATACCCATTCCAGAATCACCAGGACCCGGAGGCATCGGCACCGCCTGCATCACTGTACTATTGGCCAGCATACCCTCCTCCCCAAGACCCTTGCCGTACCATGTGAGAAAATGGAAGAATCAACTGCCATATCGGTAAGTGAAGGATAAAGAAAACTCTTCTAATCGGCTATATTAGTCTGCTTCTTTCATTTTCCGTTTCCAACTTGCTAATGAAGTTAGCCTCACCAATACTCTGAAATAGTTTGACATACGTAGTTATTTTTCTCTTTGGTAGTCAAGAACTTAATACCTCATTTGGAGACATTCAAGATGTAGTCTCAGTTGATGGGAATCTATATACTTCATATGCGGAGTATATACGGTGAACCAAGATTGGATTCATTTGTAAACAAATATTTCATTTGTCAACAAATATTACATTTGTAGTCAAGTATAATGTTCAAGTTTTGAACCAGTACTAAAGAAATTAATTTCATTAAATGTATCAAGTCAATATGGGATATGTTTTCAATTCCACTAATAGTAGATTAATTTTGAGATGTATAAAATCTAACTTGAGAATACCTTAATGGTAAATACTAACATATATATAAAATCTAATTTGAGAATATCTTAATGGTAAATACTAACATATAAACAAACAAACTTGATATGTGGTTCATGGCATCCGCCTCGGAAGCAAGTCTTTTTGGTGTGCGTGCGTGGAATGGAGGAGGGATGCTTTCTGCCTAGGACTCTATATATATACTTCCTATTGTTGATTAAGAGAAATCAATCAAAAAGGCCAATCAATCAATTCTAACTTCAAATGCAAACCAAGAACAAGAAGCTTTCTTTTTGATGTAAAGAACAAGAAGCTTTCTGTTTTCAGTTGAGACAAGGACATTTACTTTACAGCGACTGTTAATGGTAATCACATTAGTACAGATTGTGCCGTAGCAAACAATGCACCACTGTCATTAATTTAAGAGAGGAATTCAAATTTGCTTGAAAAACTGACAGGATTGACGAGTAGTATTTCCCATTAGAATGACAAACCAGCTACAAAGTCACCATTCTCTGCCTCATGTTCCAGAACATTGACACACACTAGATGAGATGATCTTGGAATGACAATCAACCTAACCTGGCTTCTCTATGCAATACCTGGTTTAAAAGAGAAGAAAATGAGATTGAATCTTGCAAAAGGATTGGCAAGTAGTATTATTTCTCATTAGAATAGTGCAGCAGGGTTTCACGGATTCTAAGGGGTGAAATGGTAGAGTCCAAAACACCCTTCCAAGCAACAAAAATAGCACATAAGAAGCTTCCATATATTAGATGATTGGTCATTTTTACATGAAAATAAATATAGAGCTTACCCTTACATTTTTGTATGTAAGTTCATTTGAAAGCACTCACAATCACAACACTAATTATGTTAGATAGGATGTAATTTTACCAAGATTAAAACTTTAATTCTAATTTCTGTAAAACCAATCCTTCTTTCCCAAATTCCCAATGTTCAAAAAATCCACATTTGGATATATTTAAGATTTTTTTTTATATTATGGAAATATTCAAAATGTTATCTTGGTTTATGTGATTCTATAGACTTGATATGTGGTCTATGGTATCTGGGGAGTGAAAGGCAGCGCACCATTGCGCCTGTGCGCCGCTTTATCGAATTGGACGAGGCTGCTCTATGCCTCCATCGCACTAAGGCCTACCATCTGGGATGTGAAACGTGACGCACTATGGCGGCACTCTTGGGTGCCGGTTTATCGTATTGGGTGAGGCTGCTCTGCCGCTCAAAGGCCAAGTTGGGTGGCACCATTTGCAACGTTGCTGGAAGCAAGGAAATTGGTGGATATGTGAGGATGCCTAGGGCTCTCTATATACAGTTGCTATTAATGAGCATTTAAGAAATTAAGCTTGTAATTGTTAGTTAATAGAATTCAATTTCAAATGCATACCAAGAAGCTTTTTGGTTTCAGCTGCGACAACGACATTTACTTTACACCCCTTGTTAATTTTTTTTTTGTTGAACAGAAACGACAGTCACTTTACATCCACTGTTAATGGTTAACCATATTGGTATAGTTTGTGCTATAATGAAAAGTACTCCACTGTCATTAATCTACGAGAGAAATTCAAATTTGCTTTGAAAGTTGATAAGATTGGCAAGCAATATTTCTCATAAAAAATGACAAACCAGCTATGAAATCACCATTCTCCGCCTCATGTTCCAGAACATTGACAAACAGCAAATGAGATGATCTTGGAGTGATAATCAATCTAACCTTGCTTCTCTACGCAATACCTGGTTTAAAAGAGAAGAAAGAAAATGAGATTGAATCTTGTAACACAAGTCAAAGTAGAAGGAAAGCAAGGAAAGAACAAGGAAAGAATGCAGTAGGGTTTCATAAACTCTAAGAGATGAAATGGTAAAGTTAGAACCCACCTCTTCTGCAAACTTTATTAAAATGGTTGTTCGAGGTCGTTGCTGTCCTTCCATAGGGACAAAGTGGGTTGTTATTACAGTTGGGGAACCTGCACTATCCAACACACCCTTCCAAGCAAAAAAAAAAAAAAAAGCACATAAAAGCCTCACAATAAAATGAAAAATCTCCATACATTAGATAATTAGTTAGTTTTACATAAAAATAAACATAGGGCTTACCCTTACAATTCCAGCAACAGAGGCCCCACAATTAAATGTTCCCATGTCTTTTGGGATTGAAATAAACCTATGTGCATTATGGATCAATCACAAGAAGAGCTAGCTCATAGTACCTGTTGACAAGGAGTTCCTTCTCACTGATCATGTATTCATCTTCATGTTTAGTGCCTTTCTCAAGAGAGTCAGCTACCTATGGTTGTAATGAGGAACAGATAAGAAAGATGCTAAAACTTATCATTCTTTAAGCATATGAACCTCCAAGTATTGTACACTTACATATTGTCATTCAATAGATGCACTTACCTTTGCAAATAGCACCTTCCACGCAATACTATGTACAAAAGATAAAATACCCAACAAGCATGTTTCTCTTCTGTTTCCCTATGATAGATAAAAGCATAAGTATGGAGCTTGCACTAACACAAAGAGGAAATACAAATATTCATAAATACAAGCACACATCTTCATACATACACATATTATTGAATCAAATTTTGCAAAATAACAACAATTGTAAATGAGATAACATTTCCAATATTGCAAGGTGAGTAAGCCAAACCATGACTCAAGCCTGAAATCAGAAACATATATCGTAATAATTTTGACACAGAAAACTCCCATATAAGAAAAACTCCATCAACTGGTGAGTTCTATTGAATTAACAATGCAATAAAAGTATACTCCTACCATCTAACAATAGTGCTCAATTGACAAATCAAGATTATACCTAAGACAACCATTATGCTGTAAGAGTCGATGTAATTTATACCTTATCCCTATGGCAAAGCAGTTCAAGAACTCTAGCACCAACTGCATAGCTTGCATCTTCCAGCCTACTCCATACCCACGAAAATCATTAGAAACATTGACAATAAAAAGTACCACTAAAAAAAAATTTAAATGCATTAAGACATGGGTTTGAGCCATGCATATCCAACATCCAGTCTCCTTTCTCCAATTTCTTTCTCCTCTCTTTTTCAAATCAAGATGCAACTTCTTTCTTTTATGCTTACTTAGATTGCAACAAAAATGTTGAGAACAATGATCTAGTGGTGTAATTTTTCATCCCTAGGGACCCAGGTGACTAAAACCATGCTACAACCAAAGCCAATCATTGTTCAACTATTTGCTTAAATGGCATTAAAGATTTTACCTTTATTATTCTATTTTCCTTTCATTCCATTCTCAACTCAGAGGAAACATTTGTGCCTAATAAAAAAAGACAATGAATATTCTGACAATAATAATAATAATAATAATTACCTTCTTTTTAATTCAGCAATGTTGTCTACTTGTTTTTGGTTGTACTGAATGAGCTTTGAGAACAAAAATGTAAATGCACTTAAGCTGACCTGAAACAAATTGGTTGACAAACCATCTGTTCAGATTGATAAATTCCTAACCAAAGTAGGCCAAGGAGTTGTTGCTAAGGTAACAAAAGAAGAAGAAGCAAAATAAACCTTCAAAGTTGACAATTTTTCTTTTGTAATTACTGATCTTGATTTTCAGTTAGTTTCCTAAATCATGAGAAATTAACTAAATATTGATTCTAAGACAAATAGTATAAAACAAAAAAATCATTAAAACATAAAAGGTCTGTAAATATCTCCAACCCCAATTCACCAAAAAAAGGATTTGCAAAATGAAATTATCTACAAGCTAAGTCTAAGTTTCTGGTTATCAAGACCTTGTAAATTAAGAGATTTTAACTCTATTGAGCTAACTACAATAATGGAATAACCATCTTGATTAGTCGACATGATTATAAGCTAATTTTCCAAGAACAAATTCTAGCTATCTTAAGTCTCAAAGACCTCTTTTCCAAAATTTCCCTAAAAATGTACATTAGTTAGGCCAACATTCTTGAACATTGAAGGGAAACAAAGAGGAATTTCAATAGAAATGTTGAACGCATCTGAAACCGGTTTTCTCACTGAGAATTGAAATAAAATTCAGTTAAATCAAACAACGAAAGGGAGAGGACAGACCTCCTGTTTCCCCTTGCTGAGGGGTTTGTTGAAGGTGTTAGAGTATTGCTTGATCTTCCCAACTCCAATCATTTTCCCTTTCTAGGGCAAGACGAAACTATTAGCTCCGACTCTGCAGCTTGATTTCTGTATCAATCCGTTTGGTTGCTGAGAGATTGCAGGAAAATAATTCTGGGATGCTACGTGACTGTGATGCTTGTGCGCTTGACCGTCTGAGCCGTCTCGAATCAACTGCTTGATTGGACCGGAATTGGTTAAGTAGCGTAAAATAGCAATAAAATGATATTTTCTCTCTTTTTTTCTTTTTTTTTTTAAAAAAAAATTTAACAACAAAATAAGTTTTTTTCTTTCCAGTTTTTCCTTATTTTTTAATTTGAGTAATAATAACGAAGATAAAATTTTAAAATAATAATATATTTTATATCATATTATTAAATTAATTAATATATATAATATTATGAATCTCAAAAAACTAAATCTAAATTTGTGAAATTTATGTACATTCGCACACATGTATGCTACCTTCCAACTTGCAAGGTGTTCATAGATAAAAGAATCAATTTATTGCATCCAATCTTAAAAGGTTTATGGTGAATTTATAAGTCATTATAAAAATTTAAGATTAAAAATACTAACTATTAATAATAAAAGGGTTTTTTTTTAACATATATTTTAAAATACATATTAAGAGATTAAAAGGGTAATAAATATAGTTTTATAATAAATTTAAATT